ATTGACATTCAATCGAAAAAGTTGTTTTTGTTTGAATTATTTAGTAACAAATCTGTCATCCAAATGTTTATCTATAGGGATAAAATAATGTTTTTCTTTTTTACTTTTTTCTATTTGGACGCTATAGTAAGACCTTCAAAAAATATAGAACAAACACCCAGTTCAGTAGAGTCAATGTTTAGAAAGCACAGAGCTCGATCTTCAATAAAAACATTCTTTTAATCTGATTAAACTTGCTTCAAAGAAATATAATTTCTTGTCATTTAGTAGGAATATTGTTTCATTTTTATTTCGCAATGACCGGCTCTTTTTTCACTAATAATTGACGTTCATCAACTGTTCCACGGCATTTTTTTGTTGCCAATTATTTGTATTTTTGGTGCTAAGTAAACTTGTTGCGATATTGTTATTGGAAGCAATTAAGGATTGCATGTTCCTCTAACTTCAATTATTGTAATATATTGAAGTGTTTTTCTATGTATTTGGCAATGTAAATTGGAAAAAATAGCTGACATTTCTATGGCACATTTTTACCAAGACTAAATTGTATGCCCGGATCAAATGAACTTGCGCTTATCTATTCATCGCTGTTACAACTGTACTACAATGTACGGTGCCATTTTTTGTTCGGTTCAAACAATATCTATTGTTCGCATATTTCCATTCATACTCTTTTATATGTGTAGATAACCACGAGGCGTTTTCATCCTTAAACCAATGTGGACGGTCTACGGTTATTTAACGATAACGATTTACAAATACGTAAATTATGAATTGGACATTCGTGAAGCTTTGTCTTCGAGAGTGTCTCGTGTGGCTTGTTGAAATTCGACCAATACACATATTCAAAATAGCCCATTAAATCTACGATAAAACCAACAATTTTACTTATACATATATTTGTTTGTGGTAATGTTGTTGACTATCCAACTGTCAGTCTTGTGCCGTACGGCGCATTTTTGAAAAAAAAAAGGAGTAAAACGGTTTGTCTCTTTCTAACGTCAAGTTGCCATTGTATTGTAAAGACACTTTTCTGACTCGCAATATACGAGCATATTTGCTTATTTGATATATGTTTCGATATGTCTCTTTTGATGTGTATTCCTTGCGCTAACGTCGCATTCAATTGAAATTATAGCTAGTTCTGTGACAAGGAAAAACAATTGACCACTTGTTTCGATGTTTTTGTTTCTCCTTGTCACTCATCGTGTCTGTTCGAATGATTGTGCCACTTCACGAGCCTTTATTGCGTTCGGGTGTTAGTATTCGATTGAATGTGAAACAAGTAACAAGGAAATGTTCGCTACAGATGTTGTATTTTGACGTCAACATTTACAGCATACAGCATTTGAGTGAATCGCAATCGTAAAACATCGTCTACGTTTTAAATACAAAATGCAGAAATTAGTTAGTGTTTTGAGTTTTAAATGAGTATTTAAAGTGCTATTTCTGCAACATTCAATAGACTGTTTCAAATGAATAAGTAAAGTGAATTTTTTTTGCATCAATAAAATTTTATTTGATATGAATGTCGTGAATTTGTTTGAAACAAAAAACAAACCGAATATCTAGTCAAACATAAACAACGCACTCAAAGTCTGAGATTTTGAATATATATCGATCTAGATGTTGAGTGAAAGCAAATGAAAATGTCTGAAAGAAATCAGTCAATTCCGTTGAAATTATACCGTCGACGATACACATAGATAACATATTATTGGTTTTATTGATTCGAAAAGAAAAAACAGAATGGCTCAGACCTGTGGGTGAAGGCGAACACGACATACTCAGCAATCTAACGGACTTGGTTCGTGTGTGCGCCGTACATACACGGGACATATAAATGGAAAACTGAAAATTTGTGCATAGATTATGATTGAATGTGCTTTATTACAAACAACGAGTTAAAGAACAAAACACACATGAGACATTTTATGCACCGCGTCATAACAAAGATCACATAGAATGTATGAGACACCCTCGTTCAAAACATACTTCAATCATGCTCATTTGACGCACAATCATGATATTTTGACATTCGACATACATTGATAATTTCAATTCCATTCGATTTAAAATATTCCGTTTTTATCGATGTTTCAATGTGTGTCTGGTATGTGCATTGAATTTCAACAAAAAAGTCACACTAGTATCGAGGCGATTTTGTGGTTTTTACCGATTGAAACATTTAAATATTTCAGATGAACATTGAAACAACATCTGACGATTCAAACATCGGATTTGAATGATTTAATTTAAAAATTTAAATATTAATTTCAACCCGTATGGAACATTTGCTTTTGGCACAAGACGGTAAAATTCAACGGCAGTAAATTCGACTGTACAAATGCATCAAATGTCCGTTCAGATCAAGTCAGTTTTTTTGAATAAATATCTATTCAGAACATTTGTACGATACATGCGATTATGATTTTCCCTTTCATTCGGGTGCGTTTTTGTACAATTACACAATTCACCTGCAACTAAAGTATGTTTGTTCGTTTCATAATTTCGCGTGATTTCTGGTACTTTACATATTTTTTCATAACTACCTATACATTAAATAAAACACCTCATGGAATAAAATGGTCTCTCTCTGTGTGTGTGTCACTTCCCGGTGTGGGGCAGGAAATACTATTTATTGCATTCAAAACAAATGTTTTATTTAATTGCCTTTTGTTGTTTTGTGAACAGAATATGTTTACTTTCATGAAAGGAACACATTTTTCCCCATTTCCTCAAACAGAATTTGATGGAAAAATATGCGACAGTTGTACGCGATCCATTTTGCATAATAAATCCACCAAAGACAATGAACGATACATAAGACTAAAACTTCTAACAATATTCATCGTCTATTTGTTTCAATCAATTGAAGGTCGCAGAGAAAACCACAAGCCATTCTTGTTGTTACAAAACCGTAAAGAGTGCTGTTTAGGAATAGTGTTTCAGAATGTGAAAATCACTAATTCAAGAAAGAACTTCAATATTTTATACCACTCTGGATTTTTTACGCTGAAAAAGTTGAAAAAATCTTGATAATTTCACTGATCAAATATCAATGCGAGTTTCATTAAATAATCCGCCACACAATGGTGCTCCCTTATGTTTGCAATTAGATGCGATGTACTGTCGCATGAAATTGCTTTCGGTTTCGTTTTCATTGGCAGTACAAATGGTGAGCCAACAAAACGACTTGATTGAAGAGAGATAACAATATACCATGATAAACAATTCACGCGCGCTGATTCAATAATAATCATACACGATGAACACATATGCATACAGAATTATAATGGTCGTATCATACTGAATTGTGGACAATATTTGACGAAGTGTAAAGGAGAAAAACCACCAACATTGTAAAATAGTATGCTTGAAATAATGAATGATATTGATTTTTTTATTCTTTTTCGTCCATCACCGAGTAAGTCATTCGTTGGAAAATCCGATGCAATAGGCGGAGAAAGTGAAATATCAAAATTAAATTCAAATAAGTGATCCGTCTGTAAATGTATACATTTTTCCACTCATGTGAACAGTTTTCTTTGCTCTGAAGTCCGAACTTGGAGACAGCTATTTGAATTGAAAGCAAACCAAATGCAGAGAATGAGCCACGCAAACCAATGCCGTAGTTTTATTGTTCTGAAATTGTGTTTGTTGAAAGTTTTTGAAGATGAACATTTGAAATCGTAATTAATTGAGAATGAACATTAAGTATCGAAAAAAATGTTTATGAAATATAATCGTCCTAGTTTTCACATACGATTGATGAAAAAAGTGGTAATTTCATTACTAATTTTCATGGTCGATGTTGTTATTTCAGCTTATTATTCGGTATTGTCATGACAAGTTGGATATTAGTATAACACTGAAATTTACCCATGATTCCGTTTATTCATCGTTCCTGTCTCGTTACATACATTGAACACGTAAACTCGTTTTTAGCCATATTTTTTCTCCTCTATCAAAAAAACACCCACCGACAACAATCGACATTGTATACAATTATATAGAGCTATTAAGTACAAATGCGTGTACGAATTCTTTGAAATTAGATGTTGCATTGATATCTAAATGGACAAAAAGTCGAATCATGCAACTAATAGGTCTCATAGAATGGAAGAAAAATGCCATGAGATCAGTTAAACGATAATCCTACGCCTTAGATTATGGAATCCATTTTCATTAACGTATCACAATAAAAAAAAATAGCTAAGAGTAGCTTATAAAAAAATCCTTGGTGATGAATTTCTTCCAAACGACCAATGTCACCACGATTTTTTAATAAAATATTCAAATAAAAACTAATGAAAAACAATTTCTAGAAATCGAAAGTAGTATGACACCCTTTTGAAGTATTCCGTTATTTTCATCGATAATAATCGATAGATGGTGAATTTGGTTTTCGAAAAGATTCATTCAAAAGAGTTTGGTGTGTTCGATTTCAAATTTTGTTTCGTACCGAAATTATGCTCAAAGTGTCACACAGCTAGCGCCACGACGGAATTCAATGTAATCTATACTAAGTTGCCGCCAACTAGTGAAAAGACTTTTGCTCAGTTACAAACAACTGACTAGAACTCCATAGTTGTCCGTAATGGCGCTAGCTGTGCTATAGTTTTGCATTTTATACAGTCCCTTATGGAACATAATTGCAGTGTGTTTTGTTTCATTCAATGGAGGGGGTTGCCTTTTTCAAATTAGTCCCATAACTTTTTTTCTCTCATCGAATTTTTATTTATTAACGCATGTATCAGTTATTCTTAGTGATGTCAACATACTTGATGACATACTTTTTCATTGTTTTAATAACGAACATTTCCTAATTGCTTCAAATCACACATACACACACAAAATGTTTTATCCCCTGATAATCTTTCAATGAAATCATACTTTAACACATGAAATTCATGGAAAATACCGTTTGTATTTTTCCCCACAGAGAATTTTGAAGAAAAAAAAAAGTTTTTAATGAATGGTTACGTATGTTCTTTTAGATAAAAAAAAAATGTGAATTCAAAGTGAACGAGTTTAAAAGCGAATAAAAAATTGAATCAAACAAATATATAAATAAAAGTGTTCATTTGTGGAAATGAGCATGTGAACTATGTCGGACATAAATGCACCCATTCAACTACCGAACGAATTGAATGTGCCTGAAACATCGAATGAAAATGAAGCAATTGAACCAATTAAGCCAAAGTCGGCCATTCCACTTTCTGCACCGCAAAGTGCTGATAGTAAATACCCAAAGCATCGATTGCGGAAGGAGAAAAAATCACAAAGTATGTTTAATTTCACATCGACAGTGACAACGACTGAAGAACCACCGCAAAGCAATGACAAGGGTACAGATGACGATGTACCACCGTCAATAACATTATCTCCACCATCTGCCAAGTATCGTAAGAGTGCCGAACGAAAGTCAACCGGTTCGCTGGATCAAATCGATAAATTATCAGATCAACCGGATATTCAGCGACAAATTAGTGCAAGTACAAATGAAATGAAATTGAGTGCAAATCGACAACGTGCCAACTCCATGGCACCATCAGAGTATGCCGAGAGAGATAATGATGAATTCGATGAACTGGGTAATGGTCACGCTGGTTCACAATTACGTATCCGATCGTCGATTATATCGCTGTTTGGACGCATGGGAAAAATGCGACGCACGAGCAATATTTCACAGAATTCCACACATGATAACAATGAAAGCAATGATCGTCCTCCATTGAGAGCGCTCCCACACATTGCTGCCACGAAAATTATGCGTGCTTTTAGCTATGTTGGTAAGCCCGCTGTGGAAAAAACCACAACTCATTTATATGGGTAGCGTTTTTCTGGCCTAGCTTTTATGCATCGCTTGAATAACAAGAAAGAAACAATTTATTTGATTTTTTTTTTCTTTTACAATAAACATGTAGTAACGATAATTTTGTAAATTACAGTACACGAACGAAGAATACGTGCAAACAACAAGGAGTACAATTCACAGTTTAAATATGCGGTGAGTCAATGGTTTTCATTTCTTTTTTTGATTTTAAATGTTAAACATGTCAAATATGTTAATATTGATTGATGTTTGCGTCATTTCTTATGTGTTTTCAACCTTTTCTTTTTCCTTTCTTAGAATAACTACATAAAAACGTCGAAATATTCGTTATTGACGTTTCTGCCATTGAATCTATTGGAACAATTTCAACGAATTGCGAATTTTTATTTTCTTTGCCTTCTACTGTTGCAATTAATACCACAAATTTCTTCATTAACACCCGTTACTACAGCCATTCCATTGATCGGGGTGCTTGCATTGACCGCTGTCAAAGATGCCTACGATGATATTGTAAGTGCATGAACATGTTTCCATTAATACATATTTCCATTGAATTTTCAATAATATCATACATAGCGTGCGCTTGATTTGACCGTGAGTTCGTTCGCTTTAAAATAACCTTTTTTTTCACTCTATTGTCATATTTTCCAAATGAAAATACATTTTGAAACAAAAAAAAGAGAACGAACACATCGCATGAAGGCTTGTCGTTTATGTTTCATTGTGAAATTGAACTTGAATTTGGAATTTGTTTGTTTTGAATTTTTGCATTGCACGCATTAAATTATAATAAGTAAAATCTGTAAACAATTCAAAATTGTTCATTCAATACCCCGCTAAAGTTTAACACTCACGAATGCGCACACAATAAATGATAAAAATCGAAAATTAGACTGACGAAAGAGGCAACAACAACCGCCGATTGAAATGCGAACAGATGCTATTGTATAGGTTTAAATTGTTCAAAATACTAGAAAAAAATGCTTTTAAAAAATCAGAGATGCATTTACTTTCATGAATCATCACTGTGGTTTATCTCTTTTCATTCGAATGAATAGTGCGGTTGTATGCGTTTTCTTAACTCATAATCTCGACTTAAAAATAGATGGTGCAGTGTGATGCAAATGTCAAGATGTAATTTAATTTCTTGGCATTTCAGTCTATTTTCGATTAAATTCATTGTCGCGCGCGCAAGCCTCTAAGTTCGTTTTTCTCTATCGTAATGCAACCAAATCACGTGCATATCGCATTTTCTCAATCGACAAATCAATTCATCAATTTAATACCACTGCACATCATTTCTGACACTTTTTTTTCAGGCAACATTTTGAATAAATTATTTCTATTTTCATGCATTCAATAAACTTCACAGCAAAGGCATATTTCCGATTCTCAAGTGAATAATAGGCTCTCAAAAACACTGCGAAATGGCAAGCTGAAAGATGAAAAATGGTCAGCTGTACAGGTAATAACGTTCATTCATGCACATTGACTTAACACTTTTGTGAATGCTAAAAATGGCCAAAGGGAAATGGTTGAAGAAAACTCTAATTAAAATTCGGTAAAAAAAATTGTGCCGTGATCATAAACTTGAAGACCTTGATCAAGAAGCCAATGAACAATGGGCTTTATATCCTCTTGCCCACACAATATTTAATAAATGATATGGTAGCCTTCTTTTCATTTTAATGGGTTAATAAATATTCTAACATAATGAACACATCAACCGAGAGATAGAGAGAGAGAGCTGGCCCATAGCCCACATTGTTTCGTCACACTTCACATTCGTGTAATGAAATATGGTTTTGGCAAAGACATTTGACTGTTCCTCTATCCTCGGAACGGGGAGCAAACCATTGCGGTCGTTTGGACTTTGTGTGTTTGTGTGCACCATTTGTAAATATTTTATGGATATTATGTGATTTTTTTTTTTCGTTTCCAACGACACACACACAAAGACATACATAAGAATTCAATCACCTTCAACTATCAACTTCACAACGACATTTTTATTTAAATGAATTTTTACGAATGGAAAAAATGTTAACATATCGAACCTGCGGCATATAGTAGTGTATTCTGGTGACCGAGACCTAAAAGATTCTATTTACAAACGAAACATGCACTCATTTTCCTTTTGGTCGGTTTTCCTATTTGTTCAATGGAGGAGCTTGTGATTCAATTACCCGTTGGGTTTTGTGTTTGTGTACGTTTTAGGTTGGCGATATTGTTCGTATGGACAATAATCAATTTATAGCAGCCGATGTAATGTTATTATCAACAAGTGAACCAAACGGGTTGTGTTACATTGAAACGGCTGAATTGGATGGCGAAACGAATTTAAAACCTCGTCAATGCCTAAATGAAACGGCTGAAATGGGACAGGATCATGAATTATTGTCACAATTGAATTTCGAGATCATCTGTGAGCCACCGAACAACATTTTAAATAGATTTGATGGTACGCTTATTTGGAACAATCAACGATATCCAATAGACAACGATAAGATACTATTACGTGGTTGCGTTTTACGAAATACTCAGTGGTGCTATGGCATCGTTATCTTTGCCGGCAAAGATACGAAGTTGATGCAAAACTCCGGTAAAACCTCATTCAAAAGCACCAGCATTGATCGCTTTTTGAATTATATTATTATTGGTGTAAGTACAAAACGATAACTATTTACCATTGCAAACAATGAAACCGTTTGTTTTTTGATTCGCAGATTGTGTTATTTTTAATATCGATATGCTTCTTTTGTACGATCGCGTGTGCCATTTGGGAAATGATGATTGGGCAACATTTCACGGTAAGTGCTAATTGTACATTGATTTATTTGTCATTATCTTTTGACACTAATTGATGGTTCCACTTCGATAATATATCAATCAATGTAAATGTTTGTATATTTTTTGCCAAAAATAAAATAGGTATTTTTGCCGTGGGAAAAAATAATTCCCAACGATCCTGTCCGTGGACCGACGGTGATTTTTATTTATATCTTTCATTTTGTTTATTTGTTGAATTTTTAATTTGATGACAAATCTAACTGAAGTAAATTATATTTTATTTCAGATTATCGGCTTATTAGTGTTCTTTTCGTATGCTATTGTCGCAAATACGGTTGTGCCAATATCACTCTATGTTTCAGTAGAAGTAAGTACAACCATTCACCTTTGTTCTTTTCTCTAGTTTGGCCAAAAGTCCAGAATTTAAAAAAAAATACATTTAATTTTGTTGTACAGGTAATTCGGTTAGCTCAGTCATTTCTAATAAATTGGGACGAGAAAATGTATTACGAGAAAAATGATACGCCGGCTCGTGCTCGTACTACAACGCTGAACGAGGAGCTCGGTCAAATTCAATATATCTTCAGCGATAAAACGGGCACCTTAACTCAAAATATCATGACCTTTAATAGTAATTCCCAATTTTGAAGGCGACAACCGTAATGTAGTTACTATGAATTGATTGTTTTTTCTTTCAAATTCCAGAGTGTTCTATCAATGGGCGGTCATATGGTGACAATATCGATTTGAACACAGGCGAAATTCTTGAATCGAACGAAGTAAGATTTTTACTATTTGATATAATATTGTATTCGTGTATTTGTTTGATTCATCTATGATGATGATGGTGTTTTCCAATTCACATACCACACAAAAAAAATCAAAAGCAACCAAATTAATAATTATGAAATGAGATTCGTGCACATTTGAGTATAAATATTTTTCTCTTCATAAAACTTTGATCATACTGAGGGGTTCCATTCTTTCATATGTTCATGCAGCCATTATCAAATCGTCATAGTTGTTGTCACCAACAATTGCCATCACATCAAACAGACATACATGAACATCAAGGTGGAATAATGTCTGAACCATCAACATCAATTGTATGTTCAAGTCAATGTACGGATAGTTGTAAGAAATCACCATTGTCTTCGTCACTACCACCACCACCACCATCATCATCATCACTTTCACCATCATTGTCGTCGTTGCCATTGAAATACAACGAGAACCCAACAAACGAACAAATGACATTATCTTATGAGCAGCCGCAGCAACTAACCAATTATCATGATTCAATTAGTGTAAATAATTGCGTTGTTAGTAGTGCGGCGACTACAACCGAAACGAAAAGAGTACATATTAATGATTCGACCACATCGACCGAACCAAGCTCATTATCGCTACTGTTTGAACAAACTACGCACACCAACGATCCAATGGGATCAAATCATGTAATAAACGCACTCTTTTTATCATTCATTGACTTTACTACTGTTGAAACGCTACTATCCATTTTCATTGAGTTGCTTTTCACTATGGATTTCACCTGCAGGTTTGCACTGCACTTTACACTTGAACGTTTGAAATTTTCGTTTTTTTTTCGTAGTTACTGCTGAGTTTTGTTTTTGTTATGTTTTGTTCGCTTTTTTAAACACAGAATTATCCAATATTAAAAATGGTGTTTTTCCTCTGTTACAACAAATTAGAATTTGCAACCAATTGATTTTTCATTCAATCCGGAATTCGAGCCCGATTTCAAATGGTACGATTCGTCTTTGCTGGATGCCGTTCAAGCTGACGACGAACATGTACACACATTTTTTCGACTGCTTGCATTGTGCCACACTGTAATGCCTGAGCGCAAGGACGGGGGGAGGTAAATATACTTGATTGTGGTTTTTTTTTCGTCATTTTCTCTATAAATATCAATTCAAAAATATACCAATTTTTGTAGATTGGAATACCAGGCTCAATCTCCCGATGAGTCTGCCCTCGTGTCAGCGGCGCGCAATTTCGGTTTTGTTTTCAAAAATCGTACACCAAATTCAATAACAATCGAAGTTCAAGGTCGTACAGAGGTATATAAAAATAAAACGAAAGTAATCAACGTCATAAAACAAAAATAAAAACCATGTATTTTTGATTGCAGGAGTATGAACTGCTTAGCATACTAGACTTCAATAATGTACGGAAACGAATGTCCGTCATTCTCAGGCGAAACGATAAAATTGTACTGTACTGCAAAGGTGCCGACAATGTGATCTATGATAGGCTTAATTCACATCAAGTAGAGCTTAAGGCGAGAACACAGGAACATTTAAATGTAATTTCGTTTGCTTGTTAAATGCATTTTAACACCAATTGGATACGTTTTAACATTGATTTTATTGATTTGTGATAGAAATTTGCGAATGAAGGCTTACGTACTCTTGCATTAGCCGAGCGGTATATTGACGAAGAGTTCTTTTACGAATGGCGAAAACGACAACAAGAAGCGGCCACCTCATTGAGCTCCCGCGAAGATCGTTTGGGTGAAATTTATGAAGAGATTGAATGTGAAATGAGTTTGATTGGTGTAACAGCCATTGAGGATAAATTACAGGTGAGATCTTTGTTTAAGCATACAAAGAAACGTAATCGACGAATGTCAAAATCTTTAATCGCAACACATAGGATGGAGTTCAGCAAGCAATATCAAACTTACAAATGGCTGGTATTAAAATTTGGGTGCTGACTGGCGACAAACAAGGTAAGAATACCATTGACTTCACTGAACTTCAATTTGAATACAAATCATACTTTTCTTCTTCGCACAGAAACTGCTGTTAATATAGGTTACTCCTGTCATCTGCTCACCGACGATTTAATCGATGTATTTGTAGTCGACGGAACAACACAAGAGGAAGTTGAGAAACAACTAATTAAATTCAAAGAATCCGTTAAAATCGTAAATACATTTCATCCGGCGAGTAAGTAAAGAACTCTTTCAAAAAATCCAAGATCAAAAAAATGTGATAATTTTACTAAATACTAAAATTTAAATTGGATTTTAATAGAAACGCAACGTAAAAGTATATTCAGTACTTCGAATGTCGCTAATGGAATACCTCATTCAATCTCAGCTACCGGAAAATTGATAAAAAATAACCATCCCCCTGCTGTATCCGTAGTCACGTTCAGCGCTGATGTAGCAACACTCTATCGTCAACAAAATGATCCCGAAAAATTGGAGAATCTTGAAGAAGTAATCAGCGGTGATTTTGATGAGAATTCCGGTTTCGCCATCATTATAAATGGCCACTCCTTAATCCATTGCTTGACACCTGAATTGGAAACACGATTTATTGAGGTTGCATCTCAATGTAAGGCTGTGATTTGTTGTCGTGTTACACCGTTACAAAAAGCACTAGTTGTCGAGCTGATCAAGCGAATGAAGAAGGCTGTCACCTTGGCTATAGGCGATGGCGCTAACGATGTTTCAATGATTAAGGCAGCGCACATTGGTGTCGGCATATCCGGTCAAGAGGGAATGCAAGCTGTTCTTTCTAGTGATTATTCGATAGCTCAATTTCGTTATTTGGAACGTTTACTCTTAGTGCATGGCCGATGGTCATATTATCGAATGTGTAAATTCTTGCGATATTTCTTTTACAAAAATATCGCTTTCACATTCGGTCATTTTTGGTACGCTTATTTTTGCGGTTTCAGTGCACAGGTATGCATGTGATCAATTCGAAAAAAGAACATTTGATAAACTTTGGTTTTCTCTTCAGACGGTCTACGATCCGATGTACATTTCAGTCTATAATCTTTTCTACACATCGTTACCTGTATTGGCACTCGGAGTTTTCGAACAAGATGTGTCCGATAAAGATAGCATCGAATTTCCAAAATTGTACACACCTGGCTTGACAAATGAATTTTTCAATTTGAAAGAGTTTATGCGAAGCGTTATGCATGGTCTCTTCAGTTCAATGGTTACATTTATAATACCGGTAAGAGATCGAGAATTTATTACGAGATCATTTAAGAATTGGAAATAGCGATCATTAAAACATCATCTCTTATCTTATAGTGGGGTACATATCGCGATGGCATCGGACCGGATGGCTTAGTATTGAGTGACCACATGACATTGGCTTCGGTCATGGCAGCCATCCTAATATTAGATAATACAGCTCAAGTAAGTCGTTTGTTGAACGCATTTTACTTGTGATAAAATAGAAATTATTTAATCAAAATTATGTATTTTTTTCCCATCCAATAGATTGCTCTTGATACCACTTACTGGACAATCGTGAATCACATTACTATTTGGGGCAGCGTAATTGCCTACTTTGTGATGGATTATCTTTACAATTACTATTTAAACGGTCCATATGTAGGCGCCCTAATTATAGCTATGAAAGGTGCAAATTTTTGGTTTACGGCGCTTGTTTGTGTGACTATTTTGATACTGCCTGTTTTAACAAGTCGTTTTTATGCGGTTGATGTCGATCCCAGTTTGGTTGATAAAATCCGGTTAAAACGGAAAATGCAAAAGAAAACCAAAAGCAGCGACGATACCACCCGTACACCATCAGCTAAACGAGCACGACGTTCACTCCGAAGCGGCTACGCTTTCGCTCATCATGTAAGTTATCCGGACACATTATTAATTCAAATAAGAAAATAGCTGTTGATTTAAAACAGGAATTCTTTTTCTCTCGTAGGAAGGATTCGGTCGCCTTATCACATCTGGAAAAATTATGCGAAAATTGCCTCAAGATTTTGCCTTTCCACTGGGAAAAGGAAGTGGAATGGGTTTGGGCAGCAATAAACGATATCAGCAACAAAATGGCGATGGTCCGCTCCCCAATAGCGTAAACAATCATATCAATCCGGACGAAGAGACAAACTCAAATTCAGTCGAAAATCGTCGATCGTCACAAGATCTGGACACTATCAATTTATAAAAATGTTGTTTTTCCAAAAAATGAACATTTTTCTTTCTGGAAACAATTCCTCTATAGTTTTTTTTTTATATAGAATAAAATTTTAACTTTCTTTTAGTTAATTTTTTTATTTTCATTCTTTATCAGTTCTTTAAATGTTTAGAACGAATGTTGTTATCGAGATGAATATTTAAAAATAATCTGTTATTTTCAATTGGATAATTGTGCATGAAAGATGTATATGACGTGATGAGTATATTTTTTTATTTTGTTTAAAAATAGTCAAGTGTTTTTGAAAAAAAAAAACCAATTTAAGTGATAAGTCAACCTTGAAACGCTTACAGAAATCTCAGTTTCTGACCAAATAATTTGAATTAGTGAATAGATTAATAACATTTAAAAAATGATGTAAATGATATCTAGTTCTCTTCTTATTTTTTTGAGAAAAGTCTCTTACCATTTTTGTAGGTATTCTTTAAAAGTTAACCAAAAAAATGTTGAAAAGTTGTTTGTTGATCATGATATTTTTGAATACGATTATAATATAATGCGCGTCGATTCTTCGATAATTGAAATTGAATGGCAAACTCTATTCAAAAATAAATGTAAGAACATCGAACTAGCTTAAGACGGCTTTAGTTTTTATAAAACTAAATATTTGCATTGAATAAAGTCGATCGTTTACATTAAAATCTTTGTTTTTAATTGCGTGCACTAAAGAATTAAACTTTCATTTTTTTCTTATATTTATTTACTTTTTCATCTCCATTAAGCTTTTGTGTTTATCATTGTGACTTTTGAAATTCTTTTCATAACCAAATAAAAGAAAGCATTTTTATTTTCAAATAGATAATTTTTTATTTCACATAAATAATTTCGCTTAGTTTTACTAATTATACAATTCAATTAAAAAGACGACCACTTGGGATTAATACATTTTTTGTTCGGCGCTCTAAATATAACTACGGCAGTAATTTTAGCGTTCAATAAAGTTCGACATTTATATACACAATTGATTTCCTAATTACTTAACTGAATTTGAATTTAATATATATCGTGAAACCTTCCATGAAGTCAATAAAATGAGAATTTATGGTCTACAATTAAAAGAGCTACTTAAATTACAAGTAATTCGACTTAAAACCAAATAGAATCAGTGACCGAATGATTCAAATCCGCGATGCGTCTAGACTAATGTGGACAGTTCATGTGGTGAAATGGTCGATGTGATATTGCTGATATTGTGACGATCGCTGATATCCAGTGTTCCATTAGTGCCCGGTGTCACAGACCCATCACGTCCAATCAAAATGCTGTTGTTTGGATTCATATGAGGTTTTGGTGTCGGTGGTGTGGCTGTGGCTGGCCGGAGACCCGGCAAGAAGCTAATATGTGAATGATTCGCTGATAATGGAGTCACTGGAGTCGTATGGCTTAACTGTGATGTATGTGTCAATGGCGTATGATTGTGATTTGCATGAATTGGATTGTTGTTGTTATTGTGATGACTCAATAGGTGCAAATGTGTTGTCGGATTGATGATACCTGATATGAGAAAAGAGCAATCAGATAAAATCTTTACAGTTCAATTGGTTGCTAAAAAACTAATATAATTACCGTTATGGTTTTGATAAAGATGATGAGAATGCGAATGGGACACATGATGTGTTGGTTGCGGCACTGATATTGTACTGATCGGTGTTTGTTGTTGTTGTGTTTGCGATTGATGTGATTGATGTTGTTGCTGCTGCTGCTGCTGATTCGCCGTTATACTTAAGTTCAATGGATTCATATTTCGTACGCATATCGTTTTCTCCCTTTGCCAAACGAACACATTGTGAACCATAGCACAACCGCAAAATACAATACCAACTCCAATCAAAACGCTCGTTATGATAGCCGGCGTCGAATGGAATTGTGTGAATGTGTATAGAATAATTCCTATTTTTTTTATAATAAATGAATACAAATTAGTTGCAATTTAATTTAAATCAAATCGAATGCCGGTATTCCGCGAGATTCTTGTTACATTTATTTAAGTGAAATTTTAATTTCGAAGAATTTTTATAGAATTTCGCAAAATACCGGCTAAGCAAAGAATGTTGTTGCACAAACTAACCAGTCAAAAATACTGGAATGGAAATAAAAAAGCCTCCAACAGCACACACGCGACTCACACTGGACTTCTGTAGATATTTATTACCTCTGCAAATAAAAAAAAGATACATTTAGAATAAGAATGAAAATGAAAACGACATGTTAAATAATTTGCATAACATTTCATGTATGTATACGAGTAGAACTAAAATTTACTGCTCTACGTAATAAAATAAACGCACTCAACATTGATGTCCTACTAAAAGAGAGAAAGAAAGAGAGAAACAAATGCGAATCCATTTCATGTGAGAATGGATGTGCGTGCATTCGGTCATTTGATACGACTGAGTCGTCTTCAGGTTGTTGCATCACCGTGAACAATGTAGAACGATGTAATTCATCAGACCGTAAATACATGTGAACTGTGCACAACAAATTTGTAATGTCTGGCTCCTTATATCACAACATAGTTTTGTCGGGATTAAAGAGAGATACGATTTTTTTTTGATTAAATAACATCGTTAACAAAATTTATTTGCTGTTTTTACATTTGCGAATGCTGGCCGAGCAAATTAAATTGCATTTAATGAGAAGCAAAATAAATGCATGTCACACATGAACCAGCCTAGTCTTGCTTGCTCCTATTTATTTTATATTCTAAAATGTAATAAAACTGAAGCAACCGATTTGGTTGGATTAATTGGATTGCATTTTTATGCACCGTACAAGTTTTGTGGCATTTTATCAATGACGCGGTGTAGATGTTTTTTTCGCCATTAAGTCGACGTAATGCAATATAACAATGCTGATTACATTTTATGCGATGAAGATACCATAGCAATTCATTATATGTTGAAGAAACGACGACACTTCCGTTGTTTTCTTTCGCTATTTTAGCTGTACACGCAAAACTGATATGGGAATGCGGCAGCGGATTAGATGAAAGCATTGTGAGTTAATGCCAAGGCTTAGCCTCAATATACATCGTGCAGAACATCGACAAAAATGGTTGAACTCAAGCAATTAAAGGTGAATCAAAGGTTGTTGAAACTAAAAGTGATGACGATGTCGTAAAATTTGTGCCATATACAGCCAAGAAAGGTATCAAAAACATGGCGCAACTAAATTAGATTGATTCTACTATAATTTTTATGAGACGGCTGTAAATTTTTTTTTACATAATTAGCTGTCTTCTATGGCAGTGAAAACAATGGCCTTCTCTTCATTTGGATCGTTTTCATTTATACGTTACTTTTGGGTGATACTTGTTCCGGTGCATGAACACCAACTCATTTTCCCGGTATAATTTTCGGCATATGTTCAAAATTACACAAATAAACATGAGAGAAAGATAGCCATTGCACTGTCAACTTTGATGCACATAAGGGGCAATGCATTTTTATTCCTCTTTTAGTATGAAAACCGAATATTTGGGTCGCATTTGTTTCAACAATATTTATATGTGGTTTGCCCGCTGCATTTCAAGCATTTCATATGTATTTATATCCGTTCAACTAACCTTGCAGTTGGCGTGGCAGGTGCTCGCAGTAATTTTACAGCAAATAAAAACTGAATCGCACAAACCAACAAACAGCATAGATTCAGGCATAAGGAGAGCGCACATAACGCAAGTGTAACGTCGTACACAATGATATAGTCGTCCGAGGAGATAGGGCCTGGTGGAGGTGGTGGTTCACGTCCATTTGGTGATATTTTCAGTAAGAATATTAGTGATAACAATGCTAGCAGTAGCGACACTAATGAAACCAAAGAAAAAAAAAATACAAATAGTTGACCATATAAAAAATCGATTTTCATGATATAAGTTTCATTTCAACAAAATGTTCATGTTCAAAAACTTACCCAAACAAAGTAATCCCAGACTAGTGAGAGCTTCACGAGCACCCATTTGATGTTTTGTATTCAATTGTAAACTACAGTGATTTTGTGGCGACGAACATGACGTCGATGGTGTTGTATTTAAAATTGTTTGAGCCGTAGTTGGAATACGTAGGCCACCGTTTGCATGTCCATTTGGAATGAGTTTGTTTGGTGTTAGAACGATCGATGGTGCTGTTTGATGTGAAATTGTCGATACGTTCAATGGTTGAATCGAACGATTTAGTATAGCACGTGTAGCTGGTGTCGTTGCGACAACATTTGGACGGGATTGAATTTGTGGAGGTGGCGGAGGTGGATGTTTTGGATGCACATGTGAAATATGATGATGGTTATGTGTATGATTATGTTGAATTTGATGTGAAGAGGTTTGAGATTGTTGGGACTGTAGGTTTTTCTGTTGTTGTTGCTGCTGTTGCTGCTGCTGCTGTTGACTAGCCGCATTTCCGGAAGGCGCGTGTTTTAACATCGAATCGATTTTTATTATTTTTACCGACTTTTAAAAAATTATACACTTTCTTTTTGGGAACTTATTTTTCTCTTTCGAAACTTATTATTTGGTGATCACTCGGTTGGTGGTGATAAAGAAACAATAAATCAGATACATTCCACGCTCGTATTTCTTCTTTTTTTAATCTTAGGTTGCACCGATACTATCGTATTTAGTATCTATTAGATTTCAGTTTTATAGATTTAAAAATCAAAATTGTGTCTATTTGGTTTCTCTTTAGTATCGATAAAAGAGGTCACTTGTACAGTTTGTCTTGAACATCCACTATCGAACACAATATATGTAATATATGCTAAAAGTTCAGAAGTCACTGCACTTTGTTCTTATGAAATGTATTTTTTTTTTTAGTTGCACAATGTTATTCTTTCTTCTCTTTTTTTTTCTCATTCGATCTTAATGATTTCGAGGAACACTATACTTATAACTGAATTTACACGAAGCGTAGACTCACCTCGAAATTCAGTTTGCGCGCGTACCGCACACAATTTACTGTCATCATCATCATTGTCAGCATATTGCCACGAAGAACCGACGAGATACACTGCTGAAGAATGTGATTGTGGTATATTCACGTACCGGCTGTTTCACTCAATTCACTTCTCGTTTTCTTACATTACATTTCTTTTTTTCCTCTCTCTGTATCTCTCCTGCTTTTCTCGCGTAGTTACGATTCCAACAAATGTATTATTACTTAAGAACCAGAAATAATAATATTCGTTGCATACAGTTTCTCCGGTTCTCTCCATTCACATGCATCACAATTCCGTTGCAAAGGTGTGTAACGTTTGTTCATTTAAATTTTAAAATAATACCACTTGAATTAATTTGTTACTTTTACATGTGACTATTATTATCACGTTGAGTAATATTTAATATTTTGTTGTTTGTCGCTAAAAACACTTTTTCTTGATTTCGATGCGAATGAACTTGAAACGATTGGAATTGAGAGTCCAATGGAACGTAACGTAACCAAAGCATTCAAACCGATTACGATTATGCAATGAAAATAATAAAATCAACGCGCACAAGATATAAAATATGCAGCAAACATAAACTTATCACGAACTTGTCAACTTCATTGAATCGTCGTTACGTTTTGCTCATCTTCGGCCGTTCAATACTTCAGATAGTCTTTATGATGCGATTACAGCAGCAAACTCAAAACATCGAATGGAAAACCAGAATTTTCTCGTTTCATGATGCTACTTCTTTCTCCGTATGCTTGTTACACGAATTTAATCACAAACACACGCACACCTGTTTTGATTATTTTAAATGAGCGCTAGAAAAAGTGGCTAGTGGCTTCACGCCGATTCTAATCTCGATTTTTTTTTGTTCGTTTCTTTTTGATTACGATTGATAACGCTATTTGTGAGTAGCGTTTTTTTTTTTTTTTATCGAAATGATATTGTCGATGAATGTATTTGCATGCAAATGAATTGTGTTTTCAATCAATTCATCATGTCATCAAACAAATTTCAATGTGCATAACTAATATCTTGATGTTTATAATGTCTTTTGGCTGAATGGAAATAATTCAATCAGTTATGTTAATGCTGAGAACACAAAAATCCACCAATCATTTGAATAATATCAAATGTTTCAAAATCTGTCATTGGTTATTCGGGTATTTGGTGAATACACTTTTTTTTCTTCAGCATTTGATTTTGCAATTGTTCTCTTTCAAAATGTCACAATGAATTCTTGCGATAGATTTTCGATCTGTCTTTTCTTTTAGTGGTTTTTTTTTCTTTCTTCTTAAATAACATAAACAACAGTCGCCGTCAGCACAGAATATTCAATGAGAATGCGACGCACCAAACAAAAATATCGCAACTGAGATTTTAACATTCAGAAAATCCGGTTCTCCAGGTAGAGAGAACGCGATGGCAGCAGCCAACGATATTGAAACGATCGTACGTTTTATGTTGTTTATAATTTCAATGTGGCATGGCGCGCAAAGAACAGAAAAAACACATCCATCGATCGCAATACATATGCGGTGATTGCCCCTTTTCTGATTCGTTCCTTAATCGCGAGCACTCTGTCTCGGCCCGCTAGTGTTGATTCTGATGTCCGGTGTGAGCGACGGGCTTAAGACTTTTTCGCTGTTTCGCGCAATTACTTTGCTTTTTCTATACTGCTCTCTTTTTTTGCCATTACACACATGCACATATATTATTGGTTCTCGCAGATTTTCTGTCACAACTGGAGTATTTTATTTTACTTTTTATATTATTCTGTACTTATTTCCTGTTTTCAAGCACTTTTTTTCACAATTTCGCTTTTGCCACGTTGATTATTATTATTTAATGCTGTGCCGTTCAAACTGATTCTTTCATCCACATGAAAATGCAGCTCGTCTGAACAACCAACGCAAATTTAGTTTTCTGAAACGAAAAGAGAGAAGAAAACGTTTAAAATCTTTGTATCTAAAGTTCACAAGAGAAAACGTGAGATAAAATAGCTGAAAAAAAACTCTAACACTTCTCGCATTTTCGATTTCTTTTTTAATTAGCCCTCATTTGGATTTAAGTAGTTTTATTTTCACATTGTAGAAGAAAGAAGGTAATTCGCTTATTTAATTCAGTATGAAATAGATACCACATCGAAATGATCACTTTGTTTTTTATGATACACACAAACATACATATAAAATGTGCCTGTGAGTTTCATGTTTTCTTCATTGTATCAATTGCTCATCGTCTACTTCGTATATCGACTGTAAAGTTTACGATTTTCTATTGAATTGCCTGCCATTTTGCCATTGAATTTTTCGGCTCAAAATAAGTAAAAGATTTATAACTTTTAACCACATATGGTTTGCATCGTTGATGACGCTTCGTGATTATCACTCGTATGTTTTGCCATGAAAATGAGAACAATCGAGCATCCAATGTTGAATGTTGATGCCGCAAGCAAGTTTGTGTCCATGATTCAAATGCTAATTTTATTTTTCTATTGAAAATTTCACGATAAAATTCTTTCATTTCGAATTCGTTCATAACACGAAAATTATTTCCTAACAAGCGTGAAAAAATAATATGCACGAAAACTGAGAACGGCGTTGTATTCGAATGAATTTTTAGCGGCTAAGATGTCTGCTATGAACTTGATACTCGTCACGTTTCGAATGATAAAAAGAAGGTTTCGATCAAAAATTCTATGTAATTTAAAATCATAGAATTCACATGAAAAAAGAATGTGTGTTTTGTTGAAAAATGAGAACGTGCCAAATTGGGTGAACTTTCTGTGATTCATGTAAAACATATTAACTCGTAGACATTGCAAACAAATCACAAACTCTCCACAAAGCATACAAAATCATATCAGATTGCATAAATTCTCGAAAAAATGGCTACTGATGTGATTACATTTTCATGGCTTCAATGTAACTAGCGTGATATTAGGGAAATGTAATGAAAACAGATTAAAAATAGGCAAAAACAAAAATATACGGCTTTGGCTCTAAAAACACGTACATTTCGGGTATATAACGCCAATAGAAAACAAAAACTACAAAAACCACTGAATCGTGTAATTTAAATAAAGCGTTTAATGTTTCAGCGTTGTTTTCTTCGCGTAAACAACAACGAACGCCAAAAATGCGATAAAAATGTAAATGCTGTCGATTTGTTCGGTCATTGTGTTTTTTTTTTATCCAACAAATGGTCGGGCCATAAATTGTCGAGTGCTTGAAAAGAAAAGGAAAAAGATTTAGACCCCTTTTAACGCATTCTTTGATGTCTGTTCTATGCTTAATCGGACATTTCATTGAGATTCACGCCTGAAATTGGTGTTAATTTGCTATTTAACCGTTCAAATGGTGCAGTCGTAATAAATAATAGCACGAATCGTTATTTAAACAATAGAATACTCAAAATAGAATGCGTATGATCATATTTAGACGCGTGCCAATAAATTGCCTTATTGATCAATGTTTAGTTATGCATTTACTCTCGCAATCTGCTTGAAATGTGTCGATCAAAGCATGACGCTTAAAATGAAAACGACATCAAATCATCGGAAAGAAAATAGATGCTTTGGCCAGCAATGATATTGGGCATGCGCCACTTGATTACAAGTTATTACCATAATATTTGGATAAATTGCCATCAATTAGATTTGTTTACATATATGTGGCTACTATAAATAATGTACGTATGCGCTCCACTAAACAACAGCCGTTGCAAGACGTTTCGCAACGAAGATACGTGTCATTCAACAAAGTTTAACTTAAAAACAAATTTGATGAAAGCGACGCCAACTGAAAAGCATTACATTACTTGTTTACATTGTTGTGTTGTTGTTCAGCTATTTTTATTACAATGGGACTTGTTTTGTTCAACATGAAATGGTGATGCTTTTATGAGTGTTTAGATTTTTTTTAGTACTTGTCCATTTCATTATTCAGTGTGTAAAGCATCACATGGAATTTATGCGAAGCAATCAAACAACATAATTTGATAAATAATTTTTTTTTGTTCGAATTTTATTCGAATACTTTAAACTTTTCCCTCACTTTCTTTTTTCGTTCCTGTTTTTCATGCCAAACTAATTTACATATTTCCCAAATTAAAATCCGTAGGCCGGTTATTCTATGAACGCAATGCCGAAATACGGTCGATGGTGGGAAATTTTTCCAATTTAAATAAATTACACTTAATTACCATTATGTTCTTTCTATTTTCATGTTACATGGAAAAACTTAAAGTCATTTGAATAGATCATAACGATATAAACAGCTTCCGTGGCTTGATTAGTGTACCTGCAGTCACAAGTGTCAGCTTGAACATTTTTACAATCTTTTTGCTGTCAAGCGTTTACAGCCCTTTGGCCCGATTTTTTTTATCAGTCGTTAAATCTTCTGTTTTTCTACTTGACATTTCCTTTACATAATACTTTTTGATTTATGTTGCGGTGAAGCATGAAGAATCGCTTTTGGAAGACGAGTAAAATTCCCATGATTCGCGATATTATTTTGATCGCCATCGTTGATCAATGATCATTACCCAAGGTAATTCTGATTGCCATTGGCAATTGAATGTTCATGAAATTGCAATGAATCGTTTTTATGAAACAAAATAAAAATGATTGGGTTCATATTGTTTGCAACAAATCTGTCTTTGTTTTCATAAATCAATTTCTTTTGATTTACGAAATTCTATTCATCATTCGGCTAGATTTCATTCTTATTATGAAAATGGCCATTGTGTTCACCATTATTATGTACCGAAGACAACGGAACGGTATGATGGAGAAACGTAATTAAAAGATAGCCGCTCTTGCTACTTAAAAGTGTTCTCGCTGCCTTCAGTCCACTTTATGAATAAATTCAGACGATATGAGAAAAAAAAACATAAACCTTTAAACTGTGCTATGCGTCCAACGGGTTTAAACTGTGTTATAATTGTTTAATGTTTCCCCATTTTCCAGTTGAATTCTTAGAATAAGCGTGATGTTTTAATAATTTTGACAAGTGAATGCCATTACACTTCTGTTTCCATTTAAACCTAAACTAACAGTACTTCATCATATTCAAACTGAGTTTTCTCTTACCACGTATCAAATACGTGTAATGATTATGCTGACATAATGCCGTTTATTGGAAACTTTGTGAATGTGCAGAGCTCTGGCTGTAAATCATACAAATTCCACGATAGAAGTGAGAAATTGCCGTTTGATTGCAGTCAACATTTTTTTCTCTCTCTCTCTCGCGATTAAATCTAAAATTATAACTTGCAAAACATGTTTCAATTGAGAAAATGAAGTATTCGATTTGCATATAAGCCCAACAGTCACACCATTACCATTGCATATGCGTGCACATAATTATATTGCAAGTGATCGAATCGATGTCCTTCATCAGAAAAATTCGCTACGAATCTATCTATCTAGATGAAGAGGTTGAAGAACGTTCATTTACGATCATTGACAGCTCGATAATTGGCTGGGATACTTTCTATAATTGTCGACAACATATCGATAATTTTGTTATTTTTCATTAATCATGGTTAATTACATGATTTGACGCAGGAGATCATTCAATTCAAAACATAAATCGATTCGATCTTAAGACACTTGGGCTTATTTCTTCGTTGTACATGCTATTCAGTTGTCTTTTAAATTACATTCTGTTCATGCAAACCATCTTGATTTCAAATTTGAAATTTTTTTTATTGTAATTGTTCGTTGCAAACTTAAGATTGGATTTTGTGTCAGCGGATGCGCATAAACGTGGCTGACCCACTTCAATTTAGCAACAGTTCAACCGATTGAAGTCCATTTGCGTTTTACAACTTGCGGCAAATAAAGCATATTTTCTTTGAGTGGATTTGTCTTCATCATCATTTGTTAATTTTTAATAACATTTTATGAAGAATGCCGTTATTTTTTGCAAACGGCCGAAAGGAAGTCGCAAACAAGTACACAAACAATGAGCAATGGACACAATAGTTTCACCAATGATAATCAATTTTGATATGCTTTGTTGACGAACAGCATTTACTTCAGCATGTGTATTGTATTGTATTGTATACATGATGGTTACAAATCAAAGCAATCGAGAAAAGAAAAAGAAAAAAAAAACATATCTCGACACATACACTTGGTGGACGCTTATTGTTAACGTGTAATAATCGTTGATTGTATGACCCAGAATCTCTTCAACGAGAACAAATTGAAACGCAGACTTGTGGTGATCATTGTACAGCGCCACAAGAAGTGAAAAGCTGTCGAAAATGGATCTTGCTGTCTTTCTCTCGCCTCGTCCATAAAATGCCGTCCAATGCATTTTGATTTTACATGAATGAAAGCATAAGATGATTATTCCGGATAATTTATAGTGAATTCAATCGAATACCGTTATCTCATTGATCCGAAGAGCATCATTGTCCATTAATGATATGCTAAGTGGTTTTTTGGTTCGTCTGTCGTTCGTTTGCTCGTAAATTTTCGAAATGGCCTCGCATCCACGGATCAAAACATTGATTTTCAATAGTAGTTTATGAATGTTGTACATAAATCGTAAAGTGACTCTTCCAATTAATAAAAAAAAACTTCAAAATACCATACATTTGACAATGGCTTCAAAGCATTCATTTTCAAGAGTTGGCCGAACGGAATTTGTGGCGTTTTAATTAAATAAACATAAAATGATGGCCAGTGGCGAACGATGCAAAAGAATAAATCGTTCGTTTTTTTTTTGTTGTTGTTCCTTCACTGGTGTCGAACTGATTTATTGTTAATCAGTGCATTTGATGGCTTTTATGTTTTTACCATTTAATGGATTTTCTTCGTGAACATTGTCTTCATTGGTTATTAATACAAATCAAAGTCAATCCTATCACGAATAAGAAATTCCTGAGATTGCAGAGAATCATGTTCTGTA